ACACACACACACAGAGCATGCCTTCCAACAAGTGACTCAGTACAATACAGTGAGATTATCCTTGTTTAACATTGGCGAATAACAAAAATGTAATGATGCACTGTGTCACACTGTATCATGTGTGTCTCTTCTTGAAAGGCACCCATATATGAAAACATACATGTATGCAGCTTACATAAAATAACTAATATAAGTCATAAAAATATTAATTAAATATAGCGTATATATGTATTATACAAGTTTTTATATATATACATATAAACCTATTTATCTATTTATATTAACCATCAATTTTTTCATTTTCTGTGAAAAAAGAAACAGAAAAGAACATAATCTTTCTCCCCTCTCTCTATTACGAAAGTACTAACGATATTTATTAAATGATTTAGTAAATGGAATAAAGCTGTTTATACGAATGCATCTGTGAAAAGAGAAGTAAGAGGCAATCTTCTTCGAATTGTACTACTTTGTAGCGTACGTCTTGCTTTCACCCACTTCCTCAAGTAGGAAGCCGTTCGCGAAGCGTTCACTCGCCGAGTCGGTCGTCGACTTAGATTCATGCAGGATCGCTCAAACGTATGTATGTGTACATGTTCGGTCTCAACCCAGATATTCTGGGCCACCATGTCGTGCCTTCGTTATTGCATAGTTTTAACACTTGTTTTTTTTTCAATTTCGACTTTATGTTTCGAAACATTTGGTGAGTGAAATTCTTTGCTGTCAATAAATATTTATTCTCTGATTTTGTTCTCTACAAAAGCACACTGTATCTCGTCTTAAAGAAAAACATAAAAAATTTCTTAGTTTATGTGTCATTGCTTCCTTATGTAAAATTGCGTGTTTTTAACTTAATGAAATTAACATGGTGATTATTAACGATATATATCGATTATTTGTGATTATGATATTTTTATAAAATTATTCAATATAAAAATGTGCAATATTTCATTTATGAAGATTAAACACAATTTTTCATTTCTCATTAAAAGAAAAAATAGATAATTATCACGAATGTGTGCGTCCTTGCTCCGACAAATCATCTTCGAAAAGAACTTGCGTCTATCATTTCTTTATCACGGAATCGCACATCACAACAAGGTGAGACAACATTATAATTTTTTTTATTTTTTTTATAAAATAATATTAATTGATTTGTAAATTAGCAGATATATTACCGATGTAACGTGCGCGAGAAAAGGATTGTAAGCTAAAAAAAACTTTAGGGACTTGATAAAATAAATTAATAACACTCTAAAACAACACAAAGTCTAAAATTGTGACATAAGACGTCTTTAAGTCATTTTTTTAGATGCAAAAAACGTTTTATGATCTGATTTTAGACACTTTGTCATCTAGAACGTTATGATACGTTAATTAAAAACATTAATAATAACGCACGTTAATAAAAAAATAATAAAAATAAAAAAAATGAGAAGAGTGGCTTGTGAGAAAGGGAGAGAGAAAAAAAGAGATATTCCCCGGTGATATTTTCCTCGTTATCTCTTCCGAAGTGCATCGTAGGATGCAAATGCACAATGTAGGATACTTGCGGTCGCGGATTGATATGCGGTGTTTTAACGGTTAATATTCATGATTGGCGTGTTCAGGTAACAGATACCATCCTGAATCGATCAACATTGAATATTGTGCATAATCTGCTGCACATATACGTACACTATAGATATCTATACATACACATACGCAAACTGACACTGTGACTCGGACTCGGTAGAAACGCATAATGGCTGATAATACAGACGTCTTGGCGTAAACTTTGTGTAACATGCTTGCACCGTTTCTCCGTGCTTTTTTTTTCACGTTGTGAAACGTATACTTACACTGAAGTGAAATCCTTCGATTTTAACATCCCGGCGTTTGTTTCTTTCGATTGTTTTTATTATATAGATAAAACAATTATTAATCGAAAATAAGAGCTATTTGCGAATTTGAAAATGGTGAGTTTCATTTATATTGAATGTATCTATTATTAATTATTATACACTTTTAATTTTAGTAATTCATACGCACGCGCGCGCGCGCGCGCACGCACGCACACACACACACACACACACACACACACACACACACAGAGTAATCGAGTTTTATCAAGTAAGAATTATCCAAATTCACTAAATTTGGATAATTCTTAGTTGCATCGATGCTGCTAATATTTTTACTTGTCGGAGAAAATGTGCGATTTAATATATTATATATAATAATAATATGAAAAATAATATGAAAAAGCTGACATTTCGCTTCCTTTACTCTCCTCTCACGTCTTTCAACATACATGCAACTGTAATGTCGTGAAAATATTATATTAATACAGATATTACGAAAAATATATATATAATATATATGTACATATATTATACATATTGGAAACCTTTGACAAAATCCGCTCTCGACTATTTATTCACTGCATTTTCTAAATTTTAAACGCGACAAAAATAACAATTTAACTATATATTACGAACTTCTATTAATACTGACGTATCATTAAAATGTTATTATTATTAATAAAATTAGCAGTTTTTACAACAAACTCGAGAGCAATGGCGAAAATATTACCGTGCGATCAATAAGGAGCTTTTTAGCGATTAATGGGAAAACTCCAGGACCGGCTATACAAGTGAGTATGCTCACTGAAAAGTATATTTATAAAAAATATTTTTTTTTCTTTCAACGTTAGCATTAAATAATATTACTCATGTTTTTTGTAAAACAAAACTAATTTTACAAATCTGATTTGTAAATTATACTTTTTAATGTATGTGGACATATCACGCGAAAGTAGATTTAACGATTTAATCGATTTAACCGTCTACTCTCCGTGTTATTATTACTGATTACGATAATATCCGAATTGATATACTTAAATAGTCTATTTTCTGTTCCTGCACTAGAACTCTCCTCAAATTCTAAAAATATATTTTAATCCAGTGTCCAGAGAAAACAGACTCTTAAAAATTAAACCTTTTTCGCGCGCTCGGTTTTTTTCCTAACGAGAGACGAGACAAGCGATAATTATCGACATTGACAATTATATATATAGCGATTAGAGACATTTATAACAGAATATACTTTTACGATAGATTTGTCTCGGTGATACGATAGAGGTTCTCGTTTATAACAAGTTGGGAAGTAACGAATTGGCTTTCCATTGGCATGGAATCCGGCAAAAGGATTCCAATTACATGGACGGGGTGCCTATGATAACGCAGTGCCCTATCTTACCCTTCGGTGGCTTTCGTTATAAGATAACTCCCGAGAGCACGGGAACATACTTTTATCACGCTCATTCAGGTAGATATATGTAGATTATCGCAATTTCCTAACTTTTCCCTATCTTTTCAAACACCGCTTTTAACGAACTTGAATGATTTTATTACGTTGCGATTCTTTTTTCGCAAATTTCTGGTTTTTTTCTTTTATTTCCGTTTAACCTCTAATCTACTTCAATGTACGAGAGTCAACGTGAAGAATTAAAAATTGGAAGAAAAATTGTACGGATCGCGATTGTTCTGTCACGCACTGAGTTTACACGCTCGAGTCCGTTTACGACTCGTTCGGATTTTGGTGACTCTGGTCTACGCCATAGAGGTCTACGTAACATACTTAATACATCTATCCGCGGCGCTCGCGCATCAAGAAAAGCAAGATCAATAACGAGTTCGCGGTATCCGCGGTATCGAGCAGGAATCGCCGCGTATCTTGCTGTTTCTTTCGCTGCGCGAATAAAAATTACGTCCTCTTTGAATTTATCGAAACATTTGTTCAATCAGATATACGCGCCGCGAAGATCTTTTTAATTAGAGAAGAAAAATACCAATTGTGTGCGCCTTTCGCGCTTTCACGATTCAAAGGATCTCGACAGGACTCGACATTCTCGACTCGAAACGAAAGATGAAGCTGACGAAGGCGTGTCTCGGTGCCTGCCGAGCCTAACCGAGGCGAGGTGAGGCGAGGCACGAATCGCGTAAAATCGTAGCGTACCGGTCGCGGTAATTCCAAAAAGAAAAAGAAATAAAAGGGACCATTAGTCTCGCAACAGGGTGACGGGGTGTACGGGTCGTTGGTAGTTCGAGGACTACGGGATGAGGATCTCGGTTTAGAAAGGATACTCGTCTTGTCATCAAGGTCGTCAGTTCCGCTGACGCGACTCCGACATGCAAGCCTTTCGCCACCTACGCCGGATGAGCTTCTTGTAAATGGCCAGGTATATGCAGCCTCCTTGAATATATAGTACGTATCTTCCAGTCCATTACCCCTCCACAAACATTCACTCGTTCCAACTCCAGGCAGTCCAGGTTCAAGGCTGCGGGATCGAGATTATCGAGTTGGGCGAATATATTGATGCGAATATAATTGCCAATTGCGGCATAGATACCAGCATAGATACTTTGGATATCTCAACGACGATCTAAAAAATATTTAATATTTTTATAGGCGCAGCAAGTGGTTGTACGAGTAAAGCATGGATTTCGCTATTTATTACGCCTCATTAACGCAAATGCTCACGATTGTCCCATTTTATTATCCACTCATGGACATTCGTTTCAAATACTTGCTGCTGATGGCAACCCTGTACAATCGATGACGGGCACGCATGTCGTTTTATTCCCAGGTACGTTTTATTTCAATTTACGGATTATTCTATCCCATTCTTGTATCCGCACAGTCTTTCTTTATTAATGCTACACATATTGAATCTAATCAATTTTATACTGCAATGGTTTGAATCTTATTTGTATTATACAAACATATTTGTATATTATACAAATGTATATAAGTATATTTGAATACGAGTTTATATACACACCTTTGATACACTTAAAAGAAGGAAAAGGGTGTAAACAGCGAATTCATTAAATTTGGAATTATTTTTCAATGGAACAATGAGAGACAAAAAAGAAATCATCTAACGCACGTATATGTATATATTGCACGTGCGTAAAGAATATTTATTGCTAGATCCTAAGGTATAAACTAGGCCTATCGTTAGAGCTTTATTCTATATTGTCTGATATTAAAATCTTTTGAAAATGGAATCGAGTAAGATGATTAAGATGTACATAAAAATGTTAGGTACATAAAAATATTGTCCATTCAATAGATATATTCAATTACGCATAAACATTTCTTAATAATGATTGACTAATAAATAAGACGAAGTGACGACTTAATAGCATTCGCATTTAAAAATCAGTGCAACGTACTTTTATTTATCAAAGTTTATTTATCAACTAGAATCAAAATGATAATTTTACAAATGTGATGGAAGATACTTTGGCATCTTAAAGCAAGAAGCATTTCGTGCATGAGAGCAAGAAATGGATTTCGATCAATCTTTCACACATACTTCAACGTAACTATTCTCGCGTTTTACTGCTCCAAGAAAGATACCGATAATCATATGGGGGATTCGCAGGAGAGAAGAGAGAGTTGTTTTAGATTTGCACGTACGGGGAAGCATTTTTCTTTAAATTGTAGATACAAGGCCTTCGTTAAATCTTGTAAACGCGCGGATTTAATTTATTCATGGCCAGTGACAAGGATAGATGAATGACGAAAAAGTTGTCTCGACAATAAACATTTGGAAAAATGGATACTATGAGGCATGGAATATACTCAATAATAGTTAGAGACCAGAACGTCTTATGCTCGACTTCAATGCGATTCTGCGCTTGAAACTTACAAAGCAACAAGGAAGAAAGGAAGAAAGCACATTGATAGTATCAGCAGAATCGACAGTGGTGGTGGTATCGGCAATAGCGAGAGAGGGCCCGCCCCCTCTCTCTCTCTCTCTCTCTCTCTCTCTCTCTCTCTCTCTCAATGGCTCGAATAACGATGTATAGACGACGAGAGTGAGATATACGAGGCATGACAGGAAGGTTAAACGTTTGCGCAGACTCGGCTGTCTTCGTGCTCCCGCCGGAGTTCTTCGCAAAGAGAAATAAAGAAAGGAAGGTAACGAAGCGCGCGAGCTTCGCGCAAAAATCATTAAAACGCGTGCTTGTTTCGCGACTATGGCTTATGTCGTGTTGATGTTCCGGTCCGTGATTTATTAGCAGATGACAACGACAGTACAGGAGGCAATCGCGTCGTCTGCCACTTGGACTGACTTGGATCACACCGCTAAATCGTTCACTCGCTTATTCGCGCGCGCGATGTGACATCTCCGAGGAAACTTTCTTCTACGTTGTCGCACCGACATTATATCTTCCATCCTGAAGTATTTCTTACATGTACAGCCAGCACAGGCTTTGGGACGGTTTGACCAGTAGCGAGACGCGCAATATCGGTATGGAATGGACCCGCGACAAAACTCTGGAACTGCTTCGCGAGTATCAACAACGACGCGTTCTCTGGGATTGGAACGCCCGAGGCTATCGCGACCGGGTGAAGCGCAAACGAGCTATACAAGAACTTGCCGAGATTCTCTGCTGCAACACTCTCGAGGTTGAAAAGAAGATCACTAATCTCAAGTGCCAATATTCTCGGGAAATACACAAGATACAAAATAGTCGCGACACCGCCACCGGTTCAGATGACGCATACGTCTCCAAGTGGTTCGCCTTCAAAGCCATGCAATTCCTACAATTTGGCACGCGTAGATACAGCAAACGGAAGAAGGTAGAGGAATACTCATTTCCTAAAATAGTCCAAATTATTTTAAATCTCTCGAAATTTCTAACAATAATGATAAAGGAAATGCGCTCGGTATGTTCTTGTTGTGGTTTCTTCCCTGTTAAATCATATTACGCCGGATAGCGAATAATGAAAACCTATCAGATTTCTTCCGATTGTTGAGTAAAAATTTCAAGTGTACTTTTTATTTCATTTTTACGAAAATATACTTATTATATTACTTATTTTTATTAAAATATACGATCTCGCAAATATAATAATTTGTCTAATAAGTAATAAAACAAATGATGAAATAAAAAGTACTTGATAATACAAATAAAAAGGTAAAAGAAAACGTTGTGTCGGATTGATTAGCTAATCTTTTCTCATGTAATTTTACAAGATGATTAAAATGACTGTTTAAAGATGTTATCATTCAAAAATGTGTCTTGAGGAAATAATCTCGGCTGTAATTGTGCTTCGCTTAATTTGTTAAAAAAGATTAATCTCCTATGTCCTACAGCCCTATAAGTACAGTACGTAGATATACGAGGAGTTCCGAAAGTTTTTGCCAATCGCTTTTGTGTAGATAGAGCGAACTAAACTGAGTCGAAAAGTCCTCTACTATTTTGCAATTTTCGCAATAGTTAACAAGATATTAATTACTATAAAAATTGCCAAATATTTTTGAATAATTTTTTATTCAAATATTATCAACTTTATAGAAAAGCTGCAAGAGACAAAAATCATTTATTTTCTTTTTATAAAATTCTGAGAATTTTTTCAGAATTTTTCCAGAATTTTTTAATACCATATTTTCTCTTGGTAAAAAGAAAATGTATTAAAAAGTGTACAAATATCATGATTCGCAAACGGCGGCGAACAACGATGAAACTTGGATTCCAACGAGTAGCGCGACGCGTCGCTGGTCGAGATAAGCATTTCATTGGCCCGTGGCGACGTGTGGCGATGTATGGCGATGTGTCTACTTCCCGAAAATTTGAGTAAAGACAAAAATCCTGCATCTCGATCCATATTCCCTCTCTCCTCCCTCGCTTTGAATAATTCATTTGTCGTTAATTAATATCGTTGAGTTTCGTTGCGTCCATGCATGAGAGCGATGACTATACACAAGCGTCAATATTGACCTACTGCATAAGGTCAGATATTTTAAATAATTTTTCTACTCAGTAATCAAAAATCAGTAATCGTTTTTCAACGAACACTTTTATAAATACTTTGTACAATTTATGCTGCAATGATATACTTATTATAGTAATAGCGATACAATTTCCAAGTTTCATGAAAGAAAATCAATACGCGTGAAAGCTTCGACGCAAATCTTTTTCGGAGATCAGAGCGTAAGATTAGGATCGAGTCGTGCGAACGTGATATGATTGAATACTCTTAATTCGTTTGTATATTAAACAAATAATTACGAGACTGACAGAAAGAGGATTTGGCTTTCTATAATAATTCTGCTCTTATGTCAGAGCGCGATAAAATTCCTGATCCCTTTTCGCAGAAAGTTGAAGAGGAACCGAAACTACAAGAAGAATATATTGTGAGTAACATCGATCCAGAAAGTATAAAATTCATGGATTGCAATGAGGAGACAAACGGCTCTGGTACTGGTTCCTTCAACGCCTCGCTCAGCGAGGACGCCGAAGAGTCCTCATCGTCCAGTATGAAGGCAATCGAGTTGTACAATGGTTCTTTGCCGAGCCAGAACGATCTTGATGAGTCCGAACAGATGAAACTCGAGCTTTGCCCACCGAACGAGAAAGAACAAAAAAAGACCAAGGAAGAGTTTGCCAAGTTTGGCGAGAGTATCGCTGTGCAGCTCGCCGAGATCCCCGACTCTTATTCGAGATCGGTCGCCAAACTCAGAATCAACCAGATCCTCTTCGAAGCGGAGATCGGAATTTATGCGCAAACACGTCGCTAATGAGCAAGTTTACTAGTATCAGCACGAATATCAACGTGGAATAATCAACATGGAAAACATTGTGATTCATGGCGCATCATCGCTATCGATCTCAATTTATGATGCCAATTCGTTCGAACCCTTGCTATAACTCAAACGAGTAATTCGCTTTTAACCGAGATTTTGAAATGATTATAATAGGACTGACAAAAGAACGACTCGCCGCAAATAAAACAATGAAAATTATTCGACAGAAGAAACTATATTCTATCCATTGTTCATCGACCGAGCATGCGTTTCGAATAGAGTGCCGCAATGAAATAAATATTCATACAGCTTCCATTTGTTTTATTCATAACATTTAATTTTTGGACAAATAAAACAATTTAAATTATTACGATTTAGAAGATTAGAAAATATGGTAACAATATTAAAACGAATGCCAGCATGGCATGATGATCGTCGTCCATGTCTTTTTACAAGCCGGATGCTTCTAAAGACTGAATCGATGATCAAGATTGTATAATAGATAATTTTTCCAAGTGATTAAAGGAATTTGATATCAAATATGTTTATTTTCCAAGCTAAGCAACATTAGTGTTTATTGTATTTGTGTTTATTTCCACGTTCCACAAAAAAACTATCAATATAAAAAATGTTGATATATTACATTTTTTCTCCGTAATATCGTAATATTCCCCGTTTTATATCGTTCGTATTTAAACAATTTAACTATTGCATTGTTTGTTGATTAATTTAACTTTCTATCTTTATTTTTTACATGATTTTGAACGCAGCAAAAGAACTAATGCAAAAAGAATAATAAATGTAATCCAGCAGAATAAGAATCTCTTCCTTTTTGAAAAACTGCCGATTACAATGAGATATGAATGAGTACGAGATATTTTTTGTTTGTAATCATCATCAAAATAATATTACATAGGAATGCGTGTCACACATACACGCGCGCGCGCGCGCGCGTAAGCACACACACACACACACACACACACACACACACACACAAAAACTAGTTTTTTCTAAAGCGTAATACTAATCATCGATAATTCGATGTAAATCAGTAAATATAGTTAGCTGATTTATAATCTTAAGACAATATTTTATGACCAAGTCTTTTGTCCAAGTCTTTAGTAACACACAATAACTGTCTTGTGATTCAAATCCAAGGTGTAACATCTCGTATGATATATATATACACCTTTAAGACTTGAGTTATTGTGTGTTACTAAAGACAAAAGACTTAAATCATAAGACATTGTCTTATAAGATTATAAGTCAGCCAATCTGTTAAAATCCTTTACTCTTTCTTAGCACTAAGATTTTAAGCGTCTAGAATAATAGAGTCGATTTAATAGCGGGATAACAATTACAAATTTATATTAACTTAACGATATATGATTTCTCTCTTCGATACAATTCAATCTTACATTAATAAAGAAGTGAATTATTATACATCAATAGAGAAGTGAATTAAACATACATTACAATATTTATATCGATTTACTCGTGTCGATGTTCTATTATTTAAAGTTTATAAAATCTCAATATTCACGCAAAAAACATGTCCTCATTAATCTTGAAATGTTTGCCTGAAGCAAATGAAAATAAATGCACACGTAACCATCTATTGGTTAATACTTTTTAAAAATTAATATTGTAGCAAAAACAACAGTTTTTAATAAGGAGCACAAATAAATTGTTAACATTTGAATATCAATTCTAAAAAATACAAAGTAAAAAACTATAAACCAAATAATCTACAATTTGAAAATATTTCATCAGTATTATAAATTTAGTGATTGTTATTTGATTATTAGCATTCTTGATTTAAGCTTTCTTCATCATTAGCGAAATTTTAGTTAAATATATGTCGCTACGATCAAGTCTTCATTTTTCTTTAAAAATAAACTTTCATAATCTTCGCAATTATTTCAATATATTTTTGGGATAATCTTTATATTGTGTGTGCGTGCGTGCGTGCGTGCGTGCGTGCGTGCGTTCCTGCGCGCGCGCGCGTGTGTGTGTGTGTGTGTGTGTGTGTGTGTGTAAATATGTATATATATATGTTGAGATTTGTACATTTTTGTTCAATAAACAAACTGTAATTGTATATATTAATGTTATTGTCATGATAACATGATTTCTTTGATTTTAACTCGCTTTAATCATTTCGTTTTAATAGAATTTTATAATCAATAAAATTTTACGCAAAAATTATCGGTTATTTTTGAAATATTAATAAAGCTAGTTTTACTAGCTTTAATAAAACAAAGATGGGAATCACCTTTCGATAAACTTTAGCTCATTGTCTTACTCTCTTATGTTCTTATTCTTTTATCCTTTTGTTTATTCAGTAAATAAATTATCACATAGTTTATTCGAAAAAATCAACATGTAAAATAAGACGCAGAGAATTGTATAAATTATTTAATGATTTATTTAAATATTGAATTTGTTTTTAGGCGAGAGACTCGATGGTATTCTAATAGCTGAATCGGCAATCGGCAAGTATGCCCTCGATATTCAGGGTCTTCGGGAATGTCGCAATTTACATCAAGAAGCATATATTTTTTATGAAAATGCCGCCCTTGATTCGTACACGATAAGGACTACAAACGATAACTTTGATGAACAATCATTTAAAATCGTAGAAAATGGCCATCACTGTCATAGAATATTGAAAAATGTCATTTGTTCTTTGGATTTGAAGAATGCAAAATTATCGCAATTGGAGGATAAAGCAGATGAAACGATCTATGTGCCCTTCGATACAAACATTTTCTCATTTTTTACAGATGAAATGACAGACAATTCCTACAACTTCTATATATCGAGATATTATCCAGCGTACTTAAGTAAGAAAATTCGTTTATCACTTATCATTGAAAATTACTTTTATTGAAAGACATTTTTATTTGAAAATGAAACGATTGCTCATCTAATGATACGATACTTTAGATTATCAAGTGCATAAAGAGGAATAAAAGTAGAAAGAATTAAAAAATATAATCATATATAGATGTCAATTGTATCATACATACTTAATGAAACATATTTATTTTTTACAACATAAAGCTATAATAATATTTTTGTCATTATTATATGACAAATCAAATCAAGGAAAAATTTCAGGTTTACAAAAAGGTGCGATAAGGATTCCGCAGATTAATGGCATGTCTTTCAAATATCCGCCATCTCCGATACTATCGCAACCAGAAAATACCTTGGAGAAATCGATTTGTTCTCTCGACAAACGCTCTAAGGAATGTGCCGATACACCGTTATTTTGCGAGTGTTTGCAATTACTCCAAGTTCCATCTCGAAAAACAATCGAAATTATATTAATAAACAAAGGTAATTACCGCGGATCCAATCTTTGAGAGTTCTAGTTAATATTTTTTTGTTCTAATAAAAGAATATATAATGTGCCGTAACAAATAAAATACGTGATCGGTAAATGTAAAAAAATTGTATAAAATTACCAGTTTCAAAAATTAGTAAAACTAGTATATACAGAAATCGTATCTTTCTCAGGCTTTGGAGGCAATGCATCCTATACGTTTCATTTACATGGTTACAATGCCAGTGTTGTTGCCCGAGAAAGTTTTGAGCAACCTCTTACCAAAGATGATATTATATCTTTGGATCTTAATGGAAAGATACATCGAAATCTTGTGAATCCGGTGCAAAAAGATACTTTTGTCGTACCGAATAAAGGATATATCATTCTTCGTGTTTACACCGATAATTTAGGTAATAATATTTTGTTAAATTTATCGCGGGGGGGGGGGGGGGGGGGGGGGGGGGTG